CTACTATGTACTATAATGTTATATACTATGTACTATAATGTCATACACTATGTACTATAATGTCATCTACTATGTACTATAATGTTATATACTATATACTATGTACTATAATGTCATCTACTATGTACTATAATGTCATACACTATGTACTATAATGTCATACACTATGTACTATAATGTCATCTACTATGTACTATAATGCTAAAGGTGGGGAAATAACAGCGGTATCAGAGAACAGAGAGCAAAGGCTGCGTGCAGGAGTGAGAAGTGCAGGGAAGAACCATTTGAGGTAAGTCTTAAAGACTTGCAAACTCTCCACCTACATTTCCTTCCTCTAGCCAAACTAGACAGGTCACTGACTATCCCCTAGAACAAGCCCACTCCCCACACTAAACATCTGCTTGTGTCAGTCTGTTACCTCGGATGCCAGTTGAAACTGCCTATTATAGTGCTGGCCTCCATGTATAGAATGCCTACCATGTGCCAGGAACTTGACTGATAGCATTTATTCACTCCTGACAAACGAATTAGAAAGCAGATGCTGCTGTTCTCCCTTAATACATGAGAAGACTGAGATTGAATGTCACGCTCAAGGTTGCACAGAGCTGGGAGAGCTGAGACTGGAATCTTAGCTCCTCTCACTCTAAGACCTGTCCTTCCATTGTAGCAGCCTGGCGTGCGCTTTCCTCTCACCCCAACACCATCTCAGTTTCGGTTCTGCAACTTAGGTTAAGCATCAGCTTCCTTTTTGGATTCACAGTTCTTTAATCACTCAATAAACCTTTATTTATTGAGGGTGCAGTAAAAGGTACTGTAAAGTGCCCATGTGCTCTTGGCCCAGCTGGGAAGACCCCTGCAGCCTCTGTGGATTGTTCTCAAAGCCCTGCATCTCTGGGCCTGAAGGCTCTCTGGCTGCAGGTGGACATCAGCCATGGTGCAAGGCAGGGCCCAGGTGGTAGAGTTAGCTAGCACCCTCCAGAGGAATGCTCAAGGAGAGTGAGGCAGCAGCTGGTAAGAATGCTCCGGCTTCCTCGTCCCTTGGTGGGACAGTTCTGAGCTGTATTCTGAGTGCCAAGTGCCCCAGTCTCTTACTATGCTACTGCCTCATCATGTTCCTTGGGGTTAGCCCTCAAACAAACATTTTGTGTCTGAGCGTGCCAGTTCCTGCTAAGTCCATCCCTGCTCATGATGATGACATGTGTGTCAGCATAGACGTGAGCTCCATAGGGTTTTCAAGGGCTGACTTTTCAGACGAAATGAGAAGCCTTTCTTCTGAAGTGACTCTGGGAGGACTTAAACTACTGATCTTTAAGTTAGCAACCAAGCAAGTTATCCATTTGCACCACCTAGGGAGGGCAGAGTTTGCTCGAGGGACCCAAAGCAGGGAAGAGGGGTCTTCCTTGTCCAGCTTCAGCATAGCTTTCTCTAAAGCTCCCTCCTGTCTCCTCTTTGAATGCCAGTCCCTAGCTGGTCCGGTTCATGCTCTCGTGAGCCTTTCTAATGGCCGATCTGACTGCCCCATTTTGAATTGCTCAAAGGAATGTCCTGGTCTTCTGTGTCCTCCTCTCACCCAGCACAGAACCTACTCCCCCAGAGCTATTCTGGGGTGAAGGTCTGCCGAATGGATGCCACTGGTGTAAGTCTTTATTCTGTTTTAATTAATCTTCTTTACCTCCCAGAAAACCTGGTATTATCCTCAAGTCAAAAACTATTTACAGATGCTAAAATGAAGATACAGAAAGCTTTTATGTATGTTCCCTAGGGCTGGCATTTAAAAAAAAACAAACAAACCTTAAAATAGGTCACGTTAAAGACCAGATTGGTTTCTCACCGTTCTGGAGGCTAGAAGTCCACATCAGGGTCTCGGCCATGTTGGTTCCTCCTGAGGCTTTGGAAAGGGGAACCGTTCCACGCCTCAGTCCAGCTCCTAATGCAGTGGTTCTCAACCTTTCTCATGCCGCGACCCTTTCATACAGTTCCTCATGTGGTGGTGACCTCCCCACAGCCATGAAAGTATTTTTGTTGCTCCTTCATAACTGTAATTTTGCTACCATTATGAATCAGGCGACCCCTGTGAAAGGGTCGTTTGACACCCCCCCCCCAAAAAAAAGGGTCACAACCCATAGGTTGAGAACCACCGTCCTTGTGTTTGCCAGCAAGCCCTGACATTCTTAGATGCATGTGGGAGTATCTAGACACAGTCTGCCTTCTGTGTGTCCCTATTTCTCTCTGTGTCCTCTCCACCGTGGCAAGACTTCGTTTGATTTGTCGCTGGTAGGTGTCCTCAAGTCAGTTCTACCCCATAGTGACTTAGGTCCTGCGCCAGCCTCCCAATTGTTCTCATGTTTGAGCCCATTGTTTCAGCCGCAGTGTCAGTCCGTCTCGTTTAGTGTCTCCTCTTTCACGCGGCTCCTTTATTTTACCAGCAATGACGTCTTTCCCCAGGCACTGGTCTCTTCCCATAAGTCCAAAGTACCTGAGACGAAGTCTCACCATCCTTGCCTCTAAGGAGCATTCTGGCTGTACTTCCAAGACAGATTTGTTTGTTCTTTTGGCAGTCCACAGTACTTTCAACCTTCTTTGCCAGCACCATAATTTAAATGAATCAATTCCTCTTTGGTCTTCTTAATTCAATGTCCAACTTTCACATGCATATGAGGCAACTGAAAATAGTAAGGTTTGGTGAGGTGCGCCTTCATCCTTAAAGCCATCTCTTTGTTTTTCAACACTGTAGAGCAGTCTTGTTCCGCAGTTTTACCCGATGCAATGTGTCTTGACTTCTCGCTCTCTTTTTTTAAGTCATGGATGCATGGTGGAGCCTTGTGGCCTGAGACAATTTACCTAACTTTTCCATTTCTTTGATGCCTCACATATAAAAGGGAGATAATAATAACAACAATATTTATCTCTTAAAGTTGTTGTTACTGAGATGGGGATGATGATGATTTTGGCGAGGGGGCGGGTGGACCACCTCGTTCCCATCTTCCTCCTCCTGCTCCGTTAGAACACATCCTTCTCCTTGCTCTCGTTCCTACACTTCCCTCCTCCTTCCCAGGATCAGCCCGACCTCCTCAATGCCATCCCTCTTCCCTTGCTATGTGGGCCAGCCCAACATTTCTCTGCATCGGGGTACTTGTGCCCTGTTCCTGCCATCCCACCTTCTACCTCCCTCTGCCCACATCATCTGTGGGCAGATATAGACAGACAAAGGAATGTATGGGTCTCAGGACAGAATTTCAAGAGGACGCAGTGGAAGGTTTGGGGACGAAGGCAAGTCGGAAGACCAGGCCCACTGAGGGATATGTAGAACATGCGAGGAAGGCAGGCGGAAAGGTAAGGTGAGCGGTGAATGGGATTTGTCCTGAGAGTCCCTGGAAGGAAGAAGCACTGACTCTAACCCCAGGTCTCCACAGGGCAGTCCTTTCTCGTTTTACCTCAGGGCCTCATTCCACGTGTCTGGGAGGAGTAACTCACCCAGAGTCATCTGTCTCTCACAGAGAAAGCTGGCAGCTCTGTCACTTCTGAAGAGAAGGTCTTCATTGAGGAGCTCCATTCCTCTAGGTTTCAGCCTGCCTCACTCTTGCATCGCCATCTTGGCTGTATCTGGGAAACAGGAGATAAAGAACACTCTTTTTCTTATCTCCGAAACACTGGCTCTCTGGCCATAGACCTAATTTAGATTATAATCTCCCAGAATCATGTCCAGGAGTGCTGAAGAGGAGAAAGCAGAGACGGTGGCACCAGGAAAGCACTCATTCCATTTTCAGCTCTGTCCTTCACCAGGCATATGACTTTGAGCAAGTCACTTAACCTCAGCGCTCAGCTCTTGGTGGAGATGAAAGGACCGGAGATTAAAGTCCCAGGAAGAATGGCTGAAGCTGTGTGAAGCTCCATAACACTGGGAGGCCTGGGATGGGGCCAGTGTGTTCACCATTGTATTCCATTGCCCCTCACAGAGTGTAGTCAATAAATACTTGCTAAAATGAATAAGCCAGGAGACCCCTAACAGACAGTAGTCAAGGATGCTTTTGTCCTGGCAGATGCTTTGTAAGGATTCTGCTGTTGATAATGACATTGGTCCTACTATAGTAAGAGAAAACTGCTACATCAAACCCATGGACAGCGGCATACTAATCTGATTTGCCTGGGGCACTATGTCATCCCCCACAGGCTGAATGGGGCTTAGGTGCAATGAAATTTTCAATAGTATTGATTGTGCCCTCTGAAGAGTCTAATATAATGCTTCTCATACTTTTATGTGCTTCTGAAACACCTGGGGATCTTGTTAAAAAAAAACAAAGCACAAGTTTGATGCAGCGCTTCCAGAGTGGAGGCCTGACAAGTTCCCAGATGTTGCTGAAGCTTCTGATCTGAGGTCTGCACTTTGCATAGCCAGCCAGGGTCTAATAGATAGGGGTTGACACCTTTTTCTGTTATGGGGTCAGATAGTAATGTTGTAGGGTTGTGGACTATGCTGGCTCTTTTCAACTGCT